AGTCCAAATATAAAAAATTCTATCCAGAGGTTTTAGTTCTTCTGGAAAAAAAAATACAAAATAAACTCCTTACTGATAATGCTAGAATATTGATTTCCTTCCTCTCTGAAGCAAATGGAAATTCTTGAGGATTGCAAGAAAGAAGGCAGACATTCAGTGCTTGTTACAGATACTTAATAAATTTGGGTTTAAGTTATTAATAGATTGAATTGACATAGTAGTGGTATTTTGGGTCATGGTTTTCTTTAAGAATCTGATGAAAACTGGAAATCCTCTACCAGAAAGAATATGCAACCATATATACACACCTTAAATTTAGCAAAATGTTTGGGAGGTTCAGCTATCCCCAAAAGTATATTCTTGAACTCTAAATTAAAAAAAAAAAAAAAAACCTTCTGCAATAAATATTAGAACTATTTGATCCATGGATTTCCAGACACAGAAAGAGCTCAAATTTTTTATGCAGATCAGGCGGTGACATTCCATTCTTTGAATGAATTTACTGTGGCAGGCTGCTGCTTAGGGAAACCTCCCTTGACTATTCCCTCTAAATATCATCTCCTACTCAACCTTGCTCCTAGTAAACACCTGATCACTTTTTATCACATAGATTTTTTATTTCCTTCACAACAATTAATACAAACAGAACTTATTTCTTGTGATTGTTTTTATTGTTGCAGCCTGTTCCCATTAGAATGTAAGCATATGAAGACCTTATCTGTTGACATCTATGTCCCTAGCATCTAGAAGGTCATCTGGTATGTAGTTTTGTTTAGTGTTTATTTTTTAATTAATAATGCAGCATTATCTAGTTGTAAAGTCTGTGAACTACCCATTGGTACTGTATATGAGTACATGTGAAGTCAAGAATGACAGAGACAAATAGCTGGATATATATTACTGCAGTATGCTGTAAGTAAACTTTCATAACATGCTGAAACTTAAAATGGTCAGTGTTTCTTTCCTTCAACTCATTTCTTGCTCCATTTTCAAGATTTTGTCATATAATATTTATTTTTGGAAGTTTCTGCTTAAATGTAATATTTCCAAGTCTGAATTGTGGTAGGAAATGATATCTATCATGGCAATATTTTAGTCACTTAAAAAATAGGTGCAAGCTTTGCCAGGCACGATACAGTTTTGGTAGGGATGCAGCTTGATACTGAACTACAAATGTGTGTGGACTAAAAGCAAACTTCTTGCAGCACTAAGATGTTCCTGAGAACTCTTCCATATTCACGATATTACTTCACATCTCTAACTAGGGATAATGTTTTAAGATGGTTATAGACATGAAAGTTGTTGTGTACTCTTGAAAAGGTACAATTTTATGCCCTTCTCTTATATAATTTTCAAGTCATGTTTAGTAATAATTTATATTTGTAAAACCTATTTGGCACTTTATGAATTGAGCTTTAAAGAGGATAAGTTCTATGCCAATCAGTTTGACATTTTGGAGACAAGGCAGACTCCAAATAGGACTAACATTCCACTAAGCTTGATGAAATATATCAACCAAAAGGGATAAACTGCATAACATAATTTCAAGATGCGAGTCAGATAAATGAGTTTGGTAAAGTCAGTTTAGGGAAGCATTTCTTTCTAATTGGCTAAACAGTAGAGTGAATAGTTTTCTATTCTTTACTCATGAGATTTTCAAGAATTGAATTCATCATTTCTTAGAAAAATAATTAGTGAAGTTGGTTTTTCTTCCATAAGCAAATGTTTTCATTGCATTTTTTCTAGCAAAACTTCAACAATTCAAGATAACAGATTTTATTAAGCCCCAGACTTTCTCTGAAGTTATTGATAATGACAAATTATTAGCTAGCAGTTTTATGCTGAGTTTAGTTAGCTTTTAGAAACAGAAATCATTCCCTGATCTTGATTTCAGTATGGATAAAACTTGCTGAAATGAATAATATTCAATGACTCTGGGCTTTTCTAGACATAACTGTTTATAGCTATAAGCAGTCAGTGATTAAGGTTTTGTGTTATCCTATAGCATCCAAATTTTAATTCATGCTCCTTGCCTATAGTACTAGGTAGATCACTTTGTAGTTGCTCTTCTCATGGTCCATTTATCATATAATGATGGAGAAGGCAAGTACACTTTGTCTCTAAATGTCCATTCCTTATCATGTCACAGGAACTTTATCACATGGAGTATGATAAAAAATATGATCTTATGTACCCCATCAAATGAGCAAGATGACATTTTAAATTCTGCTTACAAAAGTACACTATTAGACAAAGTTTATCTTTTAGAAACTCTGCAATTGCTAAACTCATCAGATAAAATTTGGTTTTCAAAAAGATTATTTATTTATTTATTTATTTATTTATCTATTTATTGGAGACAGAGTCTCACTCTGTTGCTCTAGCTAGAGTGCTGTGGCGTCAGCCTAGCTCACACCAACCTCAAACTCCTGGGCTCAAGCAATCCTTCTGCCTCAGCCTCCCTAGTAGCTGGGACTATAGGCATGTGCCACCATGCTAATTTTTTTCTACATATTTTTAGTTGGCCAATTAATTTCTTTCCATTTTTAGTAGAGACGGGGTCTTGCTCTTGTTCAGGCTGGTTTTGAACTCCTGACCTTGAGCAATCCTCCTGCCTTGACCTCCCAGAGTGCTAGGATTACAGGCGTGAGCCACCAAACCCAGCCTAAAAAGATAATTTATTTTTTAAGGAGAATCATACTAAAAGATTATTACATGTAAAACTTACCTTACTAGGGAAATAACTAGTTTTATTTTGAAATAAATATAGGCACACTTTTATATAGTTACATTTTTAAGATAATTTTTCTGGTTGAAAAATTTGTACTCATAAGTTTGGTAGTGATTTTCAGATATGAAAATCTGTTTCTTATTAGTAATAATAATCAGAAGTTTATAATATTTTCTGAAGATGAGATTTCATCAGAGAGAATACTACTGATTATAAAGATGAAATGACTATAAGTATAGAGACAAGAATCAGAGATTCTGAGTTTACGAGAAAGTTTAACTAATCACTCATAAATTCATGTACATAATGCATCTGCTGTTATTTTCTCTTTTATCTCTACATATTGGTAATGCAGTGAAATACTACCACTTTCTGAACTCATAGATATAAGTTTAGGTGCAAGTGGTAAGCATCATGATTCAAGTCCCACAAACACAAATAACACACAAACACAATCAGACCATGGACCTATTATTATTTGAGTTACATGAAAGTTTGTTAATGATCTGGTTAATTCAGAAAATACCAGTTACATAGTTCATTTAGGATGAAGACTTTCTGAGCTTGGAGTGCTTTAGTGCTTGAATTTTGCAGATGATTTAAAAATACTCATTATTTCCCTCATAAAGTTTATTTTATTTGTTAGAGATTTAAAAAAAAAAACAGTGATTAGAGTAAATTCTTATTTATTTCAGGCACAAACTGATGATTTATTAGGAAAAATGCTTTTAAACTGTAAATGTTTAATGCAAATCACATTTTTAAACTCACGTTACCCCCACGTCTAGTGACAATAATAAAATCTGTGCTTGCTCTAGCAGCACATAAACTATAAATTGGATACGGTGATGAAACCTTACATAGAAAACAATAAAGTGCTTTACAAGCTGCACACCTCACAAATAAGCTGTGATCACCCAAATTTTGAATGTATGTGATACCATATAACATCATTTAAAAAAAGTAATGAAGATCTAGATATCTATTACAGGCCATCTACTTAAAAATTCATTCATTTCTGAAATTGATGTGACTTTCTTTCCTCATACAAACTCTTGATACACAAAATATTGACTGATTATTTCTGTGATGTGTGTCCAATAACTTGTGAATCTCCTAAATTTTCCAACTCTCAATAGCAGAGGAAAACTTATATAAACTTTCTAAAAGAGAAGATGCCATTGTAATAGGACCTAGACTGGTCATTAAACCATGCTAACTTTTCATAGGCAAAAAAAAAAAAAATTCTTCAAATCTTAATAATTTCAGGATTGTATTACTTAATCCTACAATTTTGACAGTGAGAAATTTGAGTATGATGTTTTACTTGTGGCATTTGAAATTAATTACCCTTAAATATGAGCATTTCTTTACACAATACTTTATCTGAGTTATTTTATCTTTCTCTTTCAAAGAAAATCATGTTGCTATGTATTTGTGAAACTAAACATTTACAACAATTTAAGTTATATATTATTTATTATGGAATATACTTTTAAAATTATAAAACCAACCCATAATAGTTTCCATAAAGCTGCCTCGGGGAACTGTTTTTAATATATGGAAAATACATTTAAACTCAATGACATGTTTGATATATAGATTGATTATATGTTTTGTGGAGTTATTAACAAATCTTATTAAAGCTTTTCTTTTTTTGTTACATTATTTCTACATGTACATTGAATCAGAGTAACAAGGAGTCACCTTTCCATCTTATTTTCTGAATTGGCTATTTACACTTTTGAAATCACACATATAACTCCCAAGCCTCCCCATCATTTTCTTTTGCACAAATCTTACCCATAGCTCTCCAGGGCTCATAATCTAAACCTAGAGGACAAAACAAAAAAAGAATTTTTTAAGAGTTTTCATGTGTGCGTCATATATTTTTAGAGTTCCGATACAAGAAATTACACTATTGCGAGTTATGTATAAAATATTATAAGTTAAAATACTAATATATTTAATTATGAAAATCAAAATTTGATGTATAACAAATGAGTGGAATCAACTGAAATCCAATTTTTTGACTCAGTTGCATCGTTTGCAAGCAACTATATGGGCTGCATTTAATGGAGTGAACAGAGCAACTCAGGTGTACTGAATCACTTTTCAATGTTAGTGGTCCAGTAGACTTTGGGTAAAACAAAGACTCTATGTAAGGTGTCTGGTTTGATTTTCTATTTAGTTTATAATGCTTATGTAAAGGGGTAAGCCAAGAAGGTCCTTCTTGACCACACTTGAAAATTGACTCGAATAATTACTAAGATTAAATTTCAGTGTATTTTATAAAAAATATTACTTACTTTCACAGAAGTGAAGAGATACAATTGCACAATGGTGGTTACAATGGTAGAAATACATATTGCCAATAAAACGTTAGCAAGAGATTTAAAAATGACTGTACAGCACCGCATCAGAGAGTTGTGTTAATAGCAAAATGATTATTTTTCCACATAAATGAAATCCTTAAATATTTTTAAAGAAATAAATGGGGAGAAAGCGCTTTTTTTTTTTTTTTTTTTTTACTTCTAATTCCTACCAAAATATTTCCTGATGTGGAGCAAAAGACAGTAAAAAAAATGACAAAGTTAAAAAAAAAAGACATTCATGCATTTAAGCCACCATTAGTCTCTGACTCTAATATAATAAGGCAGATCGTTAATCTTTTGCAAAACTATGACTTTAGCCACTTAAACTCTTTTTAGTGCTTTTCATGACAAGGACATGATAAGCCTTGTAAATTTAGGAGTTAAGATGTGTTTCCAACACGTTAACTTAGACAAGCTGAGCTGTTTTTTGAAACACCAACTTTACAATAAAAAATATGCTTTGCTTTGGAGAAATGATGCAAAGTAATAATAATGAAAAAACAGAAGGGTTCCTATGGAGTTTATCACAAATGACACCGTTTAAATCAATGAAAACAAATCACATTTGCCTATGTGTCATCTTCAGTCTTAATGATGTGGAAAAGGGTAACATTGAACAGGACTTGGTGGCCATTGTTCCAGGCATAGAGAGCTCTATCTCTTGCATTATAGTCAAGCATGGATATGTGGAAATATTGGTTATGGAAGGGAATGTCTGTGTACTCATATGTGGAGGTTTTTGTGGAATAGGAATAATACACCTTGGCTCCCGTTAAGTGGGAGTTGGTGACATACAGCGTCCCACAGATCATGAAAGATTCCCCTGCACTTCTTTTGGGGTACCCGGTGCTCCAGCTCTTCGTCACCTCCAAGGTGTCTTGGTTAAGTTGGCTGATGACAATATTGCCTGCATTCTGGTTGGTGGCATACACAGCCCACAGTCCGATTTCATCAGCCATTAGGTCGATGTCAGAGAATCCACCCCATGTGTAGGGATAAACATTGTGAAAACCAGCATACTCCAGGCTTCGCTGGGCAAGCACTCTTCCCAAATCAAAGCTGTATTTGATGATGATATTACTTTGATACTTGTTAAAATAGAGTGAGCCGTTGTAGACAACATGGTTAGTTCCTGCCCACTTGAAAGGGAGGTTGTATGTCCTTGATTCAGCCCCACTGACAAAGTCTGCAATTGATTTGTACTCACGGACAATTTTATTGTTAGTATAACTGTCCATGTACCAGACCTGAGGAGAAGGAAAAAAAAAAATGAAGTGACTAAGTTCTGTTATTTTTCTGAAAATTCTAAAATAAAGACAGGGAGACACAACATATATTAATGTCATAATTCTCAGGCTCTGGAAGCCACATTATCTTACTGCCCACCCACTGAAATGTGCTAGTATTTTAGGCTTTTGTAAAAATATTGGCATCGTCTATGTGGAAAAGAAATAACTTAATTTACTACCTTGATGTTAACTTGCTTTTTGCTTTTTCTTTCTTTGTTCTTTAGTTTTGACCATTTAGGGCATATCACTGAGTGAACCAAACATATGTCAATGCAAATCACATCATCTGATAGATCAATACAATCAGTAATAACTGCAAAATGTATAACCTTGAGCAAATTGTATTTATTCCATCCTTTGCTCTGAAAAAATGTATGGCCTAATTTTGCATATTCAAATTATTTCTCCTTATGGGTTCTACAAAATATTCTAGTAAAACTTGTTTATTGGATCAGCTTGTAGGCACAACTACATTTTAATGAAACAATTTTACCAATTAATAACTAATCTTATTTGGATGGAACCCTTGAGAATCTTAATTTATACTGAGTTCTGTAATAGAACATAAATAGAGCTATGACAAGTTTCCACTTTATAGATTTACATAATATAGGCATTGGCAACTTATGAAAATACCCCCCCCAAAAGTTTCAGTGCTATTTCTTTTAAAATTACCTTTAGACTCCAGGGATATTTTAGCTTATTTAGCAAATTGCTTAAGCCCTTGAGATTTTCACTTATTTAGTACTTTTTTTTATAGAAAAGAACAGGTATTAGAAAGAATATACAGAAAATTCTATATGCTTATAATTAGACCTTTTCAAGCATAAAATAAGACTGAAACCAATAAAAATTAGTCTTACTATATGGTTGAATTATAGGATGGAACATTTTAGTAAAATAGGTTTACTCTATCTTTAGATATATTAATATTATCAAACAGAAAATATTTGCAAACAAGTGCAACATTTTTCAAGTTGGAACAAATATCCCTGAAGAAAATGAATAGTCCAATGGAGAAAATGTGTAAATAAAACATAATTCTAAACAAAGATGTTTATGGGAGCAACATACTCTGTTATTTTTTTCAGATGCTAAAGGATCTGTCATCCAAGCACCAAATCGGGTTCCAGATGTCTTGACAGTAATTGGGCCTGTGATTTTCATCAGTTTGCCACATGCTGAAATAGAGCAACATAAACATGTTGGTTGAACATGGCTAGTAATTCCAACACATATATTCATACCAAGAACAAAGAAAGGGATCATAAAACAAAGAAAATCCATGGAATTAATATCTGATATTGTGAATGGATGATTGTTCATATTGGGTGATATACATTTAACCATAATTTGAACCATGAGTAGTTGCTTTTTCAATGCCCTAAATCTAAAGTGTGAAATTTTAGACTGGGAAATGATTTGTACAATCTGGAAATAAATAAATGAGGAAAGTCATTATCATTATACCAATTCCATGGCTGCTTTTTCTAAGTAAAGAAGTCAGACAAATTAAACAAATTGCTCATGGACCTGTTTACCTGACCACCAGCAAATCCTCCCCCTCCCCCTAGGCTTTGTGACTATGGGTAACTTTGGATAACTTATAACAGCCAGAAGGAACTCGACCAACTGATTTTCAATTTGTATTGGTGAGTGAGTAGCTCCTGAGAAAGATCTCCTTATATACTATAACAATAAAATATTCAATTGCAGTCTACCTGAAAGAGGTAGAGTTTTGAAGGGTGACTGCCTTGTACAGATAATATGACTGGGTAGGGAAGTCATGAACACCCAAGGAACAAAACCCCCAAAACTCAAGCCCACAGACCCCAAAGTCACATGCTGTGAAAGATGAAGAGATGGAAGATATCATGAGCAATTAATGACTTCATGAAAAAGTTGTCATATCTTTTATCATTCTCTCTGTGAATAAGACCTTGGGAATAGTGTTGACTTCATAAATGCCCAAATCAAAACCAAACAGAAACCTAGGCATTTTTATGAGATTTTTAAAAGAAATCCTCTTTCCTGTCCATTTACACCATCTTTTTCCTTTCTGTTATTTTTTTTGGGGGGGGGTCCTATTTGTTTCACATATCCTCTATCTTCCATCTTCCTCTGCGTATCTTTAGAATTGATAAATTTCTAGTTAGTTGTTGTTGGCTCCTATGTATTTGGAAGGAAAAGAACAGATACTCAAAGGAAATCAAGGACAAAACTAATTCTAGCTTGGAGCTTATTTTTGTTCCTTTTTTCCCCTGTATACGCTCCTCATAAAAATAATTTGAAATTGGCAGATACAAAACCTTGCAGTTAGGAGGAAGATGCCTGGTAACATTATGTTTTGCATTATTACTTTAGTGATAGCTACAAATTTACTAATCTCTAGCATTTTATGAAACCTGAATTGAATACATTTTCCCCCTTATGTGAAAAAAGCTAACTGTGACGACATTGTTATACTTGTATAGTGAATACTTTATGATTTCCTTAAACCTGAAAAACCAGGCCAATAATTCAGAAGACTTTATGGCATTATCTATATTGAATAGCAAGATCATGGGTTTAAACCTGTTTGGAATATATCAGTTCTGCTTGCTATAAACACATGAACAATATATGAGTAAAGTAGTATCAATTTGAACTAGAAAAAAAGTTAATCATATTTGAATGGATCTAGTTGAGTATATCATTTGAATACGTAATAAGTGAAAGTAATATGATTTTTAATGATGTTCTAGATAAATGTTTAAAAATAAACAGATGATAAGAGCATGAAAATTTCGAGTGTAAGTAGAGTGAAATAAATAGAAAGGCATCCTCCTCCTCTGAAAAACATGACAAAATATGTGATTTTTTTCCTTAAACATAGGAAAGTAATTTTGACTCAAGATGATGAAGTAATACATGATTCCATCTCCTTTCTTTTCCATGATCTCATTAAAATTATAAGAAAGGAGTAAAACACGGGGACAAAAAACAGAAACAAAAACAAAAACTCAATGCAAAGAGAAAAGTATAAGAGTCATTGCTGGAGAGGAAGGTTCAACAACTTTCTAGAAGGCAGAGGTATTGGAGGGTGGAATAAGACACATCAGTGCCTCTTAAGAAGAGGTGAGAGCTGAGGAGGGCGATGATCTCTACTTCTCTTGAAGAAGAGAAGTAAAGGGCTCAGAAAGATAAGTAGGAAGGATGTTGAGAGTGAGATAGGACTCTGAAAACAGGAACACCACTTTAAGCATGCCTTAAGAGCAATGGATCCCATCTTCATCTGTAGATGCAGGACCCCGGAAGGCAGGTTAAAAAAAAACAACAAAGAACAAAACATAAAACTGTGTTACTTACCTGAAAAGTTACAGGGCACTGATGTAGTTAGTGGAGGTCCAGAACAAGGCCCTGCATAATGACATAGTACTTTCTACTCTCCAGGGAAAGAAGTGTCAAGCTCTAGCTAAATACACAGAGTTTCCAAGCAAATCTGTTGTTCAAATCTTTCAAAATAAATGGATAACCAAGGGTGACTAGATATCTTTTAAAAGTTTACAATAAAAATAACCAAGGTAAATGTGCATAAAACCAGGAACCTAATAAAAGAGAGATGATTCAGAGAGTAGAGGAGACCCTAGTATCTTCAGAGAGCTTTGTATACTGTATACTGTGTACTGTGAAAGGAAAACACAAAGAACTATTGGAGGTTAGAAGTATAATTTTAAAAAATAAATAGGTTGGAAGTTAAAAAGAGTTATCCTAAAAATTAAAACAAAAGGATGAAATTAGGAAGAAAAATATGGAGATATATAGGATCAATCCAAAAATTCCAATATCTGAAGAGTGAGGTTTCTAGAAAGAGGAGAGGCAGGGTGTGGTGGTTCATGCCTGTAATCCTAAAATTCTGGGAGGCCGAGGCAGGTGCACAGCTCAAGGTCAGGAGTTCGAAACCAGTCTGAGGAAGAGTGAGACCCTGTCTCTACTAAAAATAGAAAGAAACTAATTGGCCAACTAAAAATACATAGAAAAAATTAGCTGGGCATGGTGGCACATGCCTGTAGTCCCAGCTACTCAGGAGGCTGAGGCAGAAGGATTGCTTGAGCCCAGGAGTTTGAGGTTGGTGTGAGCTAGGCTCACGACACGGCACTCTAGCTGGGGCAACAGAGTGAGACTCTGCCTCAAAAAAAACAAAAAAGAAAGAGAGGAGAGAGAAAATGAGTGGAAAAAATAATCAAAGAAGTTCAACAGGAATCTCCCCAGTTGGAAAACTCAAATATTGTGATGAAAAGGGCACACTATAATGAATGAAAGAAGACCTACTTCTAAAAAAATTACTGTGAAATGTTAGAAGATTAAGAATAAATTGAAATTGAAACTTTTCAGATAAAGAGCATGATCTGGTCACATGAAAAGAGATAAGAATTAGATTGGAGTTGGGCTTCTCATCACCAGTACTAGGTACTAGAAGATAGTGATCAGGGCCTTTATAGTTAGGAAGAGAAATCAGAGGAAGACAGAATAAAGATATTTTCTATTTTTTGACATGCAAACTTCCCAAGAGTTTATCTACAATGCACTCTTTCTTAAGAAATTACTTTAGGATCTATTGCAGCAAAATAAGTGAGTAAACCAAGATAAGCAAAGACATGAGATCAGAAAAACTGTGACTTCCTGTTCCTGAATGACAGCTGTGCAGTAGGCCTTAAGTACAATTAGTTCAGAATGGAAACACAGCTCCAAAGGGAGATCTCAGATATAAGTGGAATTGATATATAAATAGATTGTATGAGATCCTCTAGGAAAAACTGGGCATCATGAAGACAGTTATTGATATATACATATGTATATGTATATATGAATGAAAGTATTTACTTGAACTTAACTCTAGTAATATTCTCCTTTAAATGGAACATGATACTGTACTTGAGATGAAGGGAATATGTCTGAGTCTACCACTTAGCTTCCAAGGAATAATATAAGCATTGTTATAATAATGTAAACACTCATGATTCTACCTTGTAGAATCAGCCCAGAAGCCAATTATAGAATACTTGACAGACATTTCATCTGCTCTGTGATTACAGAAAAGAAAAAATGTTTCCAACCATGATAACACAGAACAAGTAAAGTTCACATTGTTAGGGAATTAAAAATTGAGAGAAGAAATAGAAAGAAAGATGAAGGTATAACTGTCTTCATATTCAAAAATATGGTGATAGGAGATTTTTTCCTATACTTGATGAAAAAAATAATAAAAATTTAAATTTAAGATTTGAAGTTACAAAATTGATAAGGGTCAAACTATGAATAGTCATAAAAGCATATTAGGAGGAGACATGACAGTAAGTAGAGTTGGCCATGTGATCTAAATCTTCATCTTGCAAAGCAGAAATGTCTAAAATTGATAAATCAAAAAAAAGTAGAAAAAAAAGCATATTATTAGAAATAGGAATAAAACCACCTAAAGCCCTAAAATTAAAGTGCTAAATGTGGTTGCTTCTGGGAAGCAGAGCTGAAGAAGGAGAGTGTTGCTTTTTATGCTAAGCTTTTATAATTCAAAGCACACCATTTTCTAGCCATGTGCATACAATATTTAGGTTACAATGTAAAAAGTTAAAATAGCTGCAAAAATTTAGGAGCCATTAATTTTATAAAGCAAAAATCACATTTATATATTACCTATTGAAAAATCATTTCCAGGTTTATATGCCATGCTTCCTCAGGGCTAGGAAGTAGGTAGAAATGGAAGATGTAAATAGTCTGTAGATATGGAAAAAACCAAATTTTAATTTGGTTTTTATCTTGTGAGGACTAGATTGAAATTGTATTCTTTAAAATTCTAGCTCCATCTTACAATTGACATGGCAATTTCTTTCTCTTTAATTCTTTCAACCTTAAAAAATTAGAATCCCTATTATGAATTTATAATATTTATCACTGACTTTATATAGATGTTAAGAAAGGCTAATAAGTGACTACAGTGGTTAGTGCATGTGCAGGAGCTATATTAAGAGATGCTGTACATATGATTCAAGTAGAAACGATATATATCTTATTTCAAAGTAGTTAAGTGATTGTGACCTTGAAAAAATATGCTCCTGTTGAAGATCCACCAATTAAAAGGAGAAAATTAGTCTAAAATTTCTTGGAAGTATTTTTTTAAAGATGAATGATCTTTCATTATCATTTG